CTGTATGTTTACAAATACATCTCAGCAGGAGAAACCTTTTTAATTGTTTGAAAGGTTTAAATAAGATTTGAACATTGTATGAAATTTGTGAGTGCTAAAATTAATTTTTGACATAAGAATCTGTTCTCAGATATTAAAAATAATATTAAATTATAAAGGAGCCACAGCATTTTTAGAAATGGCTTTCTCTTAAATTTAAAGAAAATATAACTGAATTTTGATAAGACAAAATTTAAATTGCAAGAGGAAAAAAAAGTTTATAATCATTGAAAATTAACTAAACTTTCGATAAAACTGTGCTTGTAAAACATCTATGAACTGTAAGTAAATATTCATATAAATTTACCCAAAATGATTCATATTGAGAAATTTTGGGGTTTCAGCTTCCAAAAGTGTGTTTCGTCAAGACAATTATTTCATGTAATACGAAATAAAATATAATTAATTTTAATTATTTTAACTTATGGTAGATTTTTATGTAATATATTTTGTTCATAACTTTCATAGCATGTGAAAGAAAAAATTTCCTGCTTAGAGCATTTTAATAACATGTTATTAAGACACAATAACACGCCGAATAAATACTAATTCAGAAGTCAAACAACAAAAATCAGCATTATATTTACAAAATTTTCACAGTTATTAACATGTTATTATATAACAGTTATTAACATGTTATTAAATAACATGTTATTATTTAGGGAATTGAAACATTTTGTAGGAGAGGTAATTCAAGTATAAAAGCTATGCATTTGGTAGGTTAGTAAATAGTGTTCATTAAGCACTGAACTAAGCACAATATTCCCATCAGGGAGATATTGTGCTTAGTTCAGTGGCAGAACTGATATTGTGCTTAAGATCTATGTCTGATAAAATTCTCTTCATCTGAGTGTGTATAATTTGTATATGCCTAACAAGTTATGCAATTCAAAAGAATATCATTTAAAAAAAATTAAGTTAAATTGCAATCCGTCAGTGCATTGGAAATATAAAAAATAGTAATTTAATATTGTAGTAGAAGGAAAACACTGCAATCAGCTGTTTGGACAACCCTAATAAAATATGTATGCATTTCACAAAAGAGAATAATGTTCTTCTCTTTATGAAAAGTATCCATGAAAGCTATGCATATTTTTATGTATATAAGATAAAACTGTTAAAAATAATTGTGTATCATGTATAATAATATGTACAGAAAAATATTGTAATTTTATTTATAAGATGTATTTTTAATAAAAATAGTTATAAACTTTTGCCTTCATCATTTTGTTTAATTATTTCATTCTTCAGTTTCATTATTTCATTTTCAAAAAGCGAATATTTTAGTTTTCATCTGCTGTTAGCATAGACAAAAATTGGTGAAGAATAGAAATTATGCTTTGAAGAATGTTTAATAACTGGATGATTGAAAATTGCCATTTTTTAAGACAGTGCTTCTCAGTCCGTGATCTATGATCCATATCGGTTCATGAATTAGTTTCAAAATAAATTTACATATTTATTTAATATCATTATTGAAAATTGTAAGACCATGCAAAGTAGAGAGATCAGCATAGTGCATATCGCATGAAAGAGGACCTTTCTATTCTATTGTTCCAGGATAATTTAAATTTTACTTTTAAATTTGTTTGAATCCACCTATGGTCAGTGGATAAGACTGCTAAGTCATAGTCTTGGGTTCCATTGCCAGTGAACAGGATGGTTGCATGGGGTTTTCTCCTTAAGTATGTTAAATATAAGTCTATTTTCTTTGGAAAGTCCTTCACAAAAACATTCCTCATCAGACGGATAACTGTGATTTGTTTTTCCATAAGCAGTTAACCATCTACAATTATTTGATGATTGATAATCAATAACTGCAGTTTCCTTTCTGTAGGATTTATTATTTATTTTGTAAATATATTTCATGTAATATTTTTATTTTGATGAAAACTGTAACCAGTTACAGATTTTTTTATCCGTATATTCTGTTGTTCATTTTTTTCAATTTCATTTAAATTAAAATATTTTAAAATTAATACCACTTTGAGATTTGCAGTAAGTAAAATATTTTAACTTTATTTTTCAGTATTTTTATGGCATAATTTTCTTATAAAATTATTTTTATCGTGAATTACTACTATTTAACAGCGTGATATTAAAATAATTGATTGTTTCTTTCTCTTAATGAAATGAATAATTTACTAAATAGGTTAAATTTCAATCCGTTTCCTTTATTATGATTAATTCTCAATAACATGATCTTAGTTAATCTTAATTTTCTTAAGCAAATTATTTTTTCTTTCTCCTGATGCCTTTTTTTCAGGCATTATTTAATAAAAATCTGCGAACTTGTGTGTATTTCTTATCAAATAGAAATTTATTACCATATTTTTTAATTGATGTTATGAAACTGAAATTTCTTTGCATGATTAATAATATGCTGAACATATGATTATGTGTACTAATTAATGCACATATATGTATTGGTAATTTAAAAATAGGTATTTAAAAATGTATTTAATGCATGTGTATCCTAAGGAGTGAACTCTTCACAGTTCACAGATATTTAGAGTGCTATTTAAAATAACATTGAATTACAAATAAACTTTTAAAAAATTCACTTTTTCATTTCATTTTTCTGTTATATATACAGAACCATGATGCCATTCTTTTAGTTAATATGGCAAGCACTGAACAAAGCTATGATATTGTTAAATACGAACTCAATTATTCACTTCTGTTAAGGCTGAGTGTTAGTCTGTGTATTGCAGTGTTCGATCAACACTACATTGCCATTTTATTTTTAATCATTGTAGCCGTTTTTTTGGCTGCTATTGATCCCTGCATAAAAAGTGCCCTGATCTAATAACATTTTTTGGTATCTTTCTGTAGCACATTTCTGTAATTTCAACAAAACTTAGCTTGCTGCACCTACCTTTAGAATCTTCATACTATATGATTTCAAGGATTATTATTATTTTTTTCCAAGTCATAAATTAGAGGTAAGCATTTAATTCCACCCCAAATTTTAGCTTTCACATAGATGCAGAAACCAGTAACTTCCAGACTTGGCCGTTTCTAAACACAACTTTTCCATGATAAATTATATCAGCTCTTTTTTGGTAGACAAGGAATTTATCCAATCATATTTAAGTATGTTAATTTTTATGTATAATGATCTTAAAAGTGCAACATAAGCATTTAAGACAGGACAGCATAAGCAGCACAGAGTTGTTTGCAGGGTAGAAGTTAGGGAAAGAAAAGATGACATGGTTATTTGCAAGCAGTATTTAAACTGAGTATTTGCAGAAAGTGCTCTAAGCTGGATTAATTTTAGGTTGTTATGTAACATATATATATTAAAAAAAAAAGATGGAATAATGTATGGATAATCAACAAGATGAATGATAAGCCATTCAAAGTACATCCAATTTGAAAACTTTAACCTTTATATGTGAATTTGAAGAAGCTGGTATTATAATAATTTTTCAAGAAATATTTAAGTTTGCATCTTCTTAAGAATAAAGGAATTTTAGATCATTATTTATTTCATTAAAAGTATCTCATTATGTGAAAAGAAAAAATTTTTGCTCTGATATTTAAGTAGAAGCTTTTGTAAGACTCATATTTTCAATTTTTATGCTTTTCATTTTGGAAACTTAAATTCAGATATGCTTAAATAGTATATTTTCAGCTGTGCTTAACATTATCTTGATTGGTTAGCCCATGGAGATATATATATTTGGCAATTTAAGAAGTGTATGATTGTTTAAAAAGTGTATTCTGTGTATAACTGAGATAAAGTTTATAATTGAAAAACTGATTAAAATGCCAAGAAGGTATTTGATTATCATGATTAATTAAATCTTTGAGTACTGTAATATGTTAAAATCTAATGCAATTTAAATTATTTTTATTTTTAATTATTTGGTAATGAGCATAAATGAAATGTTAACTATGATAGTTATTGGCTACATATTGTGAAAATAGAAAATATTCATAAATTAATCAAAACTGTTAGAATACAGGACTGTTGCAACTAATCGATAAAAATCATTTCTAATTTGTAACATTTCTTTTTAAATTATTGATCATACGGTGATAACTAGTGCTCCTCTTTATAATGCAACACACATCCATTGCTGCAAGTTCATTGCTGCAAGTCAGGTTCAAAGCTGCTATGGTCAACATTGAACCTGAAGGAAATGGACGTACAAGATAGCAGCATTGAAACATGATAGAAATGGTCAGCCTAGCAACACTGAATTTGAGCTTTTACCAATGTTAATGGCAATGAGGATGTGTATAAAAATGAAAATGTAGTAGCTTCAAAGGAAGAAGTTATGTTGTATTAGGTCAAGACCTAAAGGCTAAGTTTAAGAGATATTGAAAGAAATGGATTTCTGCTTTGATTTGTTTTGCATAATAAGCAGAGCACATGTAGAATGTGTAAAGCGTATGAAGAAAACTTGGTGATTTTCTGGTTCTTTTGATGTATCACAATGATTCTCAACCTTTTTTTGCTAGTGTGCTGATTCTCATAAATATTAGGAAATAAGCAGAGTATTTTTCAGTTTTTATGTTTGCGCAGAATTTATTGACGAGCAATCCGAACTGCTGTGTAAAAAAATCTGTATAGTTTTCATCAAAGTTTATAATTATATTTAGAAATAACATTTTTCTTTTCCCACCTAGGAATAAAAAGCTTATTGCATTCGTTTTTTTTTTTTTTTTCTATTATTTGTTGTGCTAATCCATATTTTGAGAAGCAAGGCTGTCTTTTTTTTTTACCTTATTTCTTTAAAGTTATTGCCTCTATGGCGTATATTACCTTGGGGAAACTGTATGCATGTTGTGTTTCAAATAATCCATTACCTGAACATTAGAATAAAAATGCAGCATTTCAAGAGGTAAAAATGTTAAAAGACTTAAAATTTTTGGCTCTTGAGAAATAACTGCTTTTAATGTGTTGCATAATATCTTATTTACATTTATGATATTAGGCATTTCTATTGAACCCAAAGAAAAAAGTTATTATTCCTTTAAATTTTTTAATTGCAGACATAATTTCAGAATTAATTTTTAGAGCTTCAGTGATCACAAACATACAGGCAACAAGTCATAAAATATGAGCAATAGTTCCATGCTTTTGTTTATGCATGTATGGTTGAAATTTCTTCTGCATTAAATCGTATGATAACACTAAGTGCAAGTAGTGCTACTGCAGTTTTATGAGAGAAGCAACCATCTGAAAATAACAAATAAAATTTGTTACATGTCAATGTTAGTTCCATATATAATGATTTAAAAGATGGTCTGAAGAACAGTAAATTGGTTTCATGCTATGTTAAGGCTCAAGATTATAAAATTTAGTTCTAAATTTCATGTTCATAAATTTAAAATATTTTAAGTAAGCTAGTATTTACAGTTTGTAACATGTATTGTTATAATAATATTTGCATTATAATATTTCAATACATAACTTAGTTCATAATATAGGGTGTCTGAATCAAATGTACCTATATAAGCATGATCCTCAGTTTTCGATGCAGAACATCATGAATAGTTGATCGTGGCATAGATGATTCAGAAGCTGCTGGCCTGATCGACTGACGAGGGTTCTGAACGAAAGCTTTCTGAACATCTTTTGCACGTGAATCTGAATATGAACATCGATCACCTACGGATCTTTTCTGTATGCTTCTCGTTTGGAGAAACGTTTTGTGAAACTTTTTTATGCTCTTAGCTTGAGGCGGATTTCTTTTACAAACTGTTTGAAACATTCTTTGCCACTTTTACTACGGATTTGTGTTCTGCATACTAGAGAACAATTTGTGCCTTCTCTTGCGGTGACGCCACCGTTTGTCGGCTGAGCAAAAGCACAGGTGCGTCAAACACGAGAAAAAATATTAACGCCAAATGAATTCAGCTCCCACATGTAGCCAATAGCGCCTTCGTAGCACTAAAACTTTGTTTTTAATCGATTGTTCAATAGGTGCATTTGATTCGGACACCCTGTATATTTACAGTTTCTAGTAATTAATATTTATAAGTCAAATTTGACTTTGGATAAAATTGCAACGCTGTTAGTGAATTTATTTCTCCCATACACAAATGTTCGTAAGTTTTTTATGATTATGATTTTTTTAATTATTAAAATTTCATCTTTTATCATACTGCAAATCATTAAAAAAGGTTTTGCACTTTGTCTTTCTTCCTTTGTAGAAAGCATCATAACTGACATAGAAGTGAGATGTTATACTACATAATTAAATGACAGTTTCTTTATTAAGAGCTATGGTTAGTGGATTATGGCAGAGCACATTAGTTCTTTCTGTATGACATTGAGAATGTTTCTCCTTGTGGTACTGTATTTATGTTGCACATAGTAGAAAAACCATGAAATCTCATGCAGTCACCTGGAAGGGAACCTTGGGGGGGGGAACAGCAACTTTAGCTGGTCATTAAATAGTAAGTCTAGGGAGTGTAGAGTATTTATTTTATTTCCTATTTTGGATGATTGATTCTTTGTATTAAAATTATGTTTTCGTAAGAAAACTGAGCAAATCTAAAATTTAATTGAAGTTATCAGGTGGTACAGTTTTGTGCCATAATTATATAACAAAGCCATTTATTCTTATTTTGATAATTTATTTAATTATAATGCAATTAGAACAATTACTAATACACTCTGATATGCCAAAAGTCATGAGGTAGGAGCTCAAGAGAGGGTTGGGCCTCCAGTGCCTTGATACATCATGGCTTGGCATGAAGTGGCAAACCATTTAGCAGGAATGGCTGCTCTATATCCTGCAGTGCATTCCATTATTGTATTACATTAAATACTACTGGTTGTTCATAAGCTAGTTCCCAAAGTATACCATAATTGCTCCAAAGAGTTTATATTGTGGGGCTAATAAAAATCAGATCATAGTGATGAAGTCAATGGAATATTTTTGTAACCACATAGTAGTAACACAGATAGTACACTGACTACCAATAAGTATTTGAACACCTGTGGTAGAAAAGAAAATATTCAAAATCAACAGTTGGTAGAGCCTCCACGAGAGGTAATTACGGCGTGGACCCTCCGGGGCATACTTTCCACAAGTCTTTGTATGACAGCTAGTGGTATTTTCTTCCGCTCGGCTTGGAGAAAACATAGAAGTTCATTCACTGATTTTGCACGGGTAGTGCACCCCTGAATTCGGCGATGCAACTCGTCCCAGAGGTTCTCGATAGGGTTCAGGTCTGGACTCTGCGCAGGCCAGTCCATTCGATGAACTCCATTGGCCCCATACCAAGCCTTGGTTAACGTTGAAACATGACAACTGGCATTGTCGTCCTGAATGTAACAGGGGTCCAACCCGTAAAACTGCCACAACGTAGGAAGCACATTGTCATCCAAAATAGTGCAGTAGGCATCGGAGTTGAGCTTACCATGAATGGGGACCAAGAGCCCCAGCCCATACCAGGAGAAACACCCCCAGACCATAATTCCACCTCCGCCGAACTTGACTGTTGGCACAATGCATTCTGGCAGGAGACGTTCTTCAGGTAGACGCCAGACCCAGACCCTGCCATCCGAACGGTAAAGGGTGAACCTTGATTCGTCACTCCAAAGAACCCGTTTCCGCTGATCTCTACGGTCCAATTTCGATGTGCTTTGCATCACATTAACCGAGCAGCGCGGTGACTTTGTGATCAAAGGCTTATGGGCAGCAACACGACCATGAAAACCAAGCAGATATGCTTCCTTACGGATGGTATTCATTGAAACAATACTCCTGGATGCCTGTTAAAGCTCCTCGCGGATGAGGGACAACGGATGGGTGCGTTCTTCCGAATTTCTCTGGACAGCACTAGTCGGTCTCTATCTCCCAGTTTCGTTGGTCTGCTGACTCGGGGCACATTTCGACAATCATCGCTCACCTTCCACTTCTTAATCACATAGGCCACTGTCGATTTTGGGTACTTCAGATCGCTAGATATGTCCTTTAAGGATCTGCCACATTTGTGATACCCGATAATTATACCTTTCTCGAAATCAGAAAGCCCCGAACTGCGAGGCATCTTGCTTGCGACTAAAGCTGATGCTGTTTCCTACACGACATATATCGGCGGAGACCGTGACGTACCTTAGGACCGCAGATATCGTCATTTGCATAGGTGTCCAAATACTTATTGGTAGTCAGTGTAGTAGTATATTACTTTGTCCTGCTGAAATTTTCACTTCCGCCAAGAAATTGGATAAAGGAGGGCAGGTAATTTAATAGGAATTTCATGTAACTTAAATGGGTCAAAATGAGGATAATACAGATTAACGCATCATGCGGTGAAGAGAGAGGAGGGGAAAAAAATTTTTTTTTGGCAGGGATTAGCTATTTTTAGGGTTCGCCAATACTAAGGCCAGAAGTGGTAGTCATTTGATTTTGGAGGCATCTAATAGGTGGCCACCGTTACGAAGTAGACAATTTACATCCGTGCCTTCTCCGGAACATGGATAAGCCCGAATTCCGGCTCTTCTGTATCGTAGTCGGCTTCCCTAACCACTATACTATATAAAGAAAAAATTAACAATAACAAAAAAAAAAAAAAAAAAAAGTTGCAATTAAAATCTATTCCAATTGATTATCAAATAATTGACATGTACGATTTCATTTTTAAATAAAAATATAAGGTTGTAAGTTTCTTTCCCTGGCCTCCCTTTTCTTTTTATTTCAACAATGTTCATATTTCATTGCTTAATTTCTAAATTAAAGTTGCTAGAAATGATGAGACAATATATTCTTCAGTGGTTGCGAATTCTTTCTACCACATCTAGTGTTTGTTCTCAGCTTAGTCTGATCGCTAGTATAGTCATGCGTAAGTACGCTGTAACAAAAGATGGGTACTCGTGTGACTGATTTCAGTGGTTTGCGTACAAAAATGGAACGGGTGGAATGGAATTTACGGGTGAGAAGAGATGAAAATATCGTTTACAGAATTTCATAATGGACCGAATTAAGAAATTAGAAGGGCCGCATTTGGTCCGTAAGACGGTTTTTGCCCATACCTGCTCTGTACGAATTATTATAATGCTCATCCATTTGGCACTATACGGAGAGAGAGGGATGCTTTATGGAGAACGTTGTAAGGGAAATTGGCTGGTAACCACGTTACACGTGGCGAAAACCACAAAAACGCGCCCGTTCGCCGGTACATGAACCCCCGAATTGAAACTACTCATAGTATTCAGCGGCTTTTACGGCTCGACCGCTGGTGGGCGCTCTCTATGAATTAGAAGATTTAATTCTTGTATATCGTAGATTTATCATTCCTTTCGACTTTTAAAGGGCTTTGACTTGAAAGTCTATGGACAATCTATAAGAAGTCCGAAACTAACGTAACGTCTTCAGAACAACTAAATGCAGGGTCTCAGAAAAGAAAAGATATTTAGCATGCATAAGTTCCTAGATCTATTGGACTTGAAGAGGTAAAGTAATTAATGCCGAGTATCTTATCTTGCTAGAATTAAAGCACTGTTGGAAAAAAAATATATATATATATATATATCTTTCAAACAGAAAATACAACACTAAAAATAAAATACGCTTAAGTAGCAAAAGTGCAGCTAAGCGCTCGGCTAGTAATGATTAGTGATTCAAATACTTGAAAATAAAGTAAAGGAAAAGAAGGCTCCTTGATTAAATACAAAAACTGGAGTAAATGCTATATAACACTATTTACACAGACGGCAATCAAATGAATCTATCTCTTGGTATTGTGATGGATTGTTAATTTGTAACGCTGATCAATAATAAAATCATAGTTTCCAAGTTTTTTAAGAATTTCTGCATGGTGAGCTTCACAATTCTTGTATGCGCGAGAATTTCGTGATTGATAAGCTTAATTTTTAAATCGTTGTGGGTGATAGAGTCTCTGACATACCATGAGGTATTCAACATTATTTTGAGGGTTTTAGTTTGGAAAGTTTGAAGGATATTTCTATTATTTTTTACAGTAGCTGCCCATGTCGATACACCATAGAGAAGAACTGGGTGGGGGGAAATGCCTGCAGACAGAGAGTTCTTTAGCATTATAATAGAGCTATTAGAATTCCTGCCTATAATAAGATAAATACTAATAAGAGCTCTGTAAGCTTTATCTCTCATGTTTAAAAAATGGGAACTGAAGTTCATCCGCTTATCTTATATTTGATTTTAATATCACATAGACAATTCCACCATTCATTTAGATTTCACTGAT